ATGTGAAGCAGCGCTTTGTAAGAGATATGCAAAACAAGAGACTCCTACTATCTAAAAGAAGAGATGACAGCCAATGCATTCATTAAGTTGTTGCGCGAAATCCAACACCAGAAGTTGCAAAACAAGATGGCACTTTCAAACTGTTTCAAACAACAACTTAGGAAACTGATCTGAGCTTGTTTTACTTCAGTTAGAATCCAACAGCCCAAAAACACATCCTCCTTCATCTTTTACTTCTTTTACTTTTACTTCTCCCCTCATTCCAGTCCTCCAGCTCCCCCCCCTCCTTCGGGCTCTCCTGGATAGGCTGGTCACATGCATCCACCCAGCCAATTGTTTCAGTTATCAAGCTGATTAGCAGTATTCCCATCACACCTTCTTTCTCACACTTCCCTCTTGTCTCTAAGGCAGAGGAGACATTTTGCCTTTGTCCTTGAGAGGTGAAGGCCAACTGTGCCTCTCTCCATTGCCACTTCCACTAGCTAGAATGAAAATTCCTATTATCTTTCCTATCTCAAAGTATTTCTCTAATAAAAATTAGGTTTCTTATTCTCTTAGAATAAAAATTGTGCATGCAGGTTCTTTCCAAAGGGGTCTGTGTGCTCCCCTAACCAACTCAATTTTCAGGGCCTGAATCCAGAAGTTAATTTACCTGCTCTTTATTCTGCTAACAGTTTGAAAGTTTGCTGATTTATCCTCCATGCTTGGCAAATCACAAAGTATTTTAAATTAGATTGTATACTAACGAACACCCTTACTTTTTCCCAAGAGATGGCAGCAACATCAAAACTAATATGTTGAGTATTAAGGGGAAACAAAATAACAGAAAACAAACTCATTGTGATCTTTAAAAATTCAGGCTTTTTAAGAACTAAAAAAAAAGTTTTGTGGTGCAACAGCATTGGCCCTTTTGGTGTAGGCTGATGTGATCTAAATAGGGTTGCTTAAGAGGTGGAAGAAGGAGTGATATGCCATTTGGAGCAATTCCCACATCAAAATGGCATATTGACCTCAAGCAACCTACCAGCTCCTACCACTGTCATTTATTGTTTTTTGTGTTAGGCCATTACTGATGCACTGAATCACTTAGCTTAAATTAAAAAAAATGTTTTGTGTGTAGTGCTGACTGAGAAACTGACCACAACCAAGGTTTCAATTGGCACTTCACACAAGGACAAAGAAAAATTTAATCTAAGCAACAGTAATGGTTTAGCAGAGTAAATAATAATAATTTCACTTCCCCTGCCCCTCTAAAGTGTTGAATTTGCTGATATCCTGACGTGGCTTGTCTATTAATCCACTTTCTGATACTGGAAATTGAAACTGGAAGACTCCTTGGCAATTTTGACAGCTACAAGGCAGAGTAAATATCTGTTCCAGCAACTGCATACACTGAGAATGGACTAAACTAGAACACACCAAAAACCTAGGAGCCCAACAGGTTTCAAAAAGATGTGGGTTGGGGTGCTCAGGGAGCAAGCTGCTCTGCTCTAATGATTATGTCATGTGGTCTCCAGAAAAAAGAGTGAACACATTCAGCCCTGCAACACATCAAAGAGTGGGACAATTGCCCGTCTGAATGAGCCCTTATTGAGTTTTGTCAGTGCGCTGCTAGTTTTAATAGAGAACAACACCCACAAAAACAATAGGTGTTAACAGATTTTGTCAGTATATTGCCAGTTTGAATAGTGACCTGCATCCATTAATACTGTCCTGATCGTTACAATCTAAAAGATATAGTGTGAAAGAAAAGGAATTGTAAGGGAGACTGCAGAACAAGCAAATTCAGGGGATTTACCCTGCAATTTAAGTCAGACTGGGCAGTAATGAATTTGAATTAAACCCTAGTGACTACATGACATAAAACTGAATGAAGGGAAGCCCATCTTTTTTTAAGCAGGGAACCGTCCTTTCAGCCACTTGGGGTGGTTTAGTTGCAATCAGTTTGATACAGTATTGCTTTTGTCTGCTTTCTGCTAGTGTTACTTCCTAATCCAAAACAAAGAGGCACTAACCAGGTTGTTAATTCCCCTTAACCAAGTAACCTTGTTTCCAAACTAGTTCTTTTAAAAAAATGTTTCCTCTCCACACTGGAACAGGTTTTTGTTAGAGCAGTTAGAAGACAATTTTAAAAGAGAGAGAGAGAGGTGGAAATTGTTGATCAGCACTTGGTAGCACCTTGTAAAGAGAGTTTCTGCTTTCTGAGCTTGGTATAAACTAAGTTCTCTGCCTCTGCTGATTCCTGCAAATCCAGATGGCTACAGCAAATTTACACAGGAAACCCAGTTTCCATGGGTACGAATCACAGAGAATCAATGCACATTTTTCCCACTGTGTAGTCGTACATTCAGGCACTAATGCTCAATGGTTTAAAAACATTATAACAACTTGCTGGAATGAAAACAGTTCAAGGAGAAGCAGAGCCGGATCTTAGTGCTCTTTCAGTTAAAGAAAAGCAAGAAAGCTCAACCTTCTGTCAAGTGGTAGTGGACAGAGAGGGTAGTTATATTTCTCTATCACCTGGTACTGGCAGATGATAGACAGAGTTGTTGGCTGAAACAAAAACAGAGTTTTTATGTGTGTCTAAAGAAGTAAGCTGCAATCCATGAAATCCTAATAAAACTTTAAGGTGTTAAAGACTCTTTCCTGTTTCTGCCAAGTGGCAGTTGATTTGCTTAGACAGATTATTATTACTGCATGGGAGTGCAGTGATGTTATTGCGCTAGCAGAGCAGGTCAACATTCTACAAGGCAATTCTAAAAATGGGGAAGCCCAAATAAAAAATTATAACTTTGAAACTGGACTTTGGAACAGGACAAGTTTTGGCACAATTGTAGAAGACAGTCTGCTCCTGCACTATGCCAAATTTGGGGACATTTGGGGAAGGGTTTTTTGATTTATCATTTTTTAAATTATAAAATTATTTCCCCCATGTCAAAAAAAGGGACCATAAATATAACCAGATTTAAAACAGAGCAAATCAACTGAAAGTCCAATCTTGCTTATCATAAAGGAGAATGGGTGGCCTTTATTTGGAAAGAATCCTGGCCATAGGGGCTGAAATACTGATTGTCCAAAAAGGCCTTTCTAAAAGGAAAAACAGTGACTTTGTTATAAACTGAGCATGTGAGGAACAGGCAAGAATCTTTCAAAAGATACATTGTTGCAGCTTTGAAGGGGGAATGCTGTAGGACAGGGGTCCCCAACCCGGCAACGGTCCGCAGCCTAGGCAGGACCAGGCCGTGGACACATATCTTCTATCCCTGTGCGAGCGTGAGTGCTGCTGTGTGCATGCGTGATTGCATTCCACCACTGAGCGTGCTGCACGCATGCATGCAAGTGTTTCCCGCTAGCACCACTACTGCAAATGCATCCCTGTGCGAGCGTGAGTGCTGCTGTGTGGATGCGTGATTGCACTCCACCACTGAGCATGCTGCATGCATGCAAGTGCTTCCCGCAAGCACCACTACTGCAAATGCGCACGAGCACGCTCTGCCCACTGTGAGCATGCCACATGCATACATGGTCCGCCCCCTATGCATGCAAGCCCTGCCGCGCATATGCACACAAACACACTTCATCCCCCTGAAGGCACACAACACCCCTGCGAGCGTGCCATGCCCTTCCCAAATGCTCCCTGGTTGGGAAAAAGTTGGGGACCACTGCTGCAGGGCAATGAAAGATCATTGAGGCAAAGTCAAAAGACAGGTTACCGTTCACACTTGTAAAGAAATACCCCAAATTGCTCTGTATTTGGGCGGGGGAAGTGGATAACTGAAGAAAACAGATTTACCCTTGTTTGGTGTCAGTTTGTGAAGGGTAGCAAGGACAAGAGTGTGTCCTGGAGAACAGTGGTCCTCAACCTTTTCGACTGGCTGGGGGGAGCAGGGTCACCCCCTTGCTCACGGGGTGTGTGTGGCACGTTTGCAGATGGATGGGGCATGTTCATGCACATGCACGGATGGGTGTGGTGCGCTCACGGGTGAGGGGGCATGCGCATGCAGGTGAGTGTGCCACACCCACCTGCGAGTGCACCACATCCACCTGCTAATGCACCAGCTATCCACGCCTGCGTGCGGGGGGGGGGAATCTGTCTCTGTGGCCCATTCCTGGAAAGCCCAGGCTGCGGACTGGGAGTTGGGGACCCCTGCTGTAGACCATCTTGACTATTCACACTGGTGTTGTCAACATTCAAACTGCCCTTTGCTTCGCAACCTTTTTCCTGCTGGCAACATCTGTGCAATACCAGGCAGACATGTTGGGCTATTTCCTTGCTTTTTTGAATCCTAGATACAGAAACACAATACAGGTATCCCACATTCGTAAACAGGAGGGTTTTTTTTCAAAAAAGTATAGAGTATATATACAAGGAGTGTAGTAGTGGATAGAGTGATAGGTTAGGACTCCGAGGAACTGGGTTCAAATTCCCTTTCTCCACTTCTGGGGAAGGAGCACTGCCAGAGCCCCTTCTTAAATTTCTCTCTCGTGCCTTGAAACCTCTATTCGCGGTTTCACTCTAAAACGCCTTGAGGCTATATAACAACAACAACAACCGATCCGATAAAGAAGGGGGACCCCGTAAGAGAAATCTTCCACGGGGACTCCCTGGTGCTCCCAGCACATGCCACGAGAATACACACACAGACTCCAGAGGCAGGAGCACCGCTACCTCTGCCCGTTCCCGCCTCACAAGTCAAGCACCGGCTTCCCATTCACAAGCCGAAAAGTTCTCCACCTCCGCTCCCTAAAGAGCCGCCCGCCCTATCCGCGCCTCGCCTTGGAAGGTCCAATCCAAACATTCCCCTGGAGGCGCGTAATCGTCGCGGCGTTGGAGGAGAGAACCACAAGCCCCGCCCCCTTCTCCGCAGGTCGCAGTCTCCGCCCCGCCTTCTCCGTCCAAAGAACACCACGTCAACAAATGAGGGCTCGCCCGGAAGTTGTCTCCGTGTGAGCGAGAACGAAGCCGAACACTTCCGGGTCAGCAGTTCCGTTGAGGCTTCTTCCCCCCCCCTCTTTTTGGCCACGCCACAGGTGGAAACCGGGTTGGCCTCGGCTTCCGCGCAGGTGAGGCTGACGCTGAGCGCCTCCTTTCTTGAGGGCTTGTGGCTTGGGCGGCTGAGGCCTCCGCTCGGCCTCTCTCCTCTGCGTGTCTCACGGTCCCCTTTCTCTCTCTCGTTTTTTTTTCCAGCTCGCTCCCACCCACCCCATTAGCCCTTGGCCGGTGAGGTGAATCTCTGCCGGGGAGATGTCGCGGAGGGGCTGGCGGGGCCCTGGGGCTTCGGCGGCGTTGCTGCTCCTCCTGAACCTGGGCTGGGCTGCCCGCGCCTCGGAGATCACCTTCGAGTTGCCGGACAACGCCAAGCAGTGCTTCTACGAAGAGATCGTGCAGGGCACCAAATGCACCCTGGAGTTCCAGGTAAGGGCATCCCCGTATCGACAAGAGCCGCAGAGGCAGGATCACACTCTTGGGCCGAGCGTGCTTGGGTTTCAGTTGATCTCGGTTCGAAAACTGCGTGGTGAGGGTTTCAGGGGAAGAGAAGCGAAGGTGGGTTGAAAAGTCCTCTTGAATCCTGAAAGACTCGTTGCAAAAGCAGTGCGTGAGGGAGGGGGAAGGGGGAATTTTCCTCCTTTACTTCTGACTTGGTTCCTTGTGTTAATCTTGTGAAAATATTTGTCTGATTGGTACTTGTGGAAAGTGGAATATGTCATTATTCCAATGCCTCATTCTGTGGAATGAGTTACTGCTGTATTTCTGATATCATTTATTAATTTTTCATTAGTGTCTAGCAACCTGTTTCCCTATTATCCACTGTTTTGGTTTCCCTTTATTAATGTCTTTAACTTCCTCTTCCATTACTGATAACTTTAAAGTACAGTGAAGCTGTACCATTCAGGCCAAAAAGGGCCTTTCCAACTTTTTAATGGTAGTGGAGACCTGCACAGCAGTAGTAATTAGAGAAGTCCTGCTTGTTGCAGTTTAAAGCTGGATAATACTTTTCATAAGTCTCTGATAAAAATTGTCATTGTTACTGTTCTATTGTTCACAGATGAAAGCCTAAACAATTGCTACTGTTAAGACATGGCCTTTCCTTAAATGAGGTCTACAATGCTATATATTGTGTTCTATATAGCCATAGAGAACTCTAGCAAAGAATAGAGAATGATGTAACAAATGCTTCAGCTTGAGAAATGCTTATAGCAATTTCATAATAACCAATTAAAATGTACCAATTGTATGTAATCCTGTTAAAAGGAGACTCTTGCAGAGTGTGCGCGGCATACAAGTTAAATAAATAAATAAGGAATATGCTTACCATTGTGTATCACTATTGCCTTTCTCTAAAAATTGATGTGAATTTTGTTAATTGATAATTTCTTTCTTTGTACTACAAAACCAGGATTTTTTTTAAAAAAATAGTTTCTGGTGCATTTCTATTTCTGTTTGTTTTTTTTAAAAAACAGGTATAGGTTCTCTTGTTATGGAACACAAATCCCAAATTTTGTGTGCTGTACTGTATTAACCCAGCCACCATGTGTCTGCAAGGCAACATTGTTGAGATGGGTAGTGTGACAAGTGGTAGATAAGAGGGTAACTTAACTAATTGAGCTTCAAAATGCACGTTTCCATGCCAACTATGCGATTGAAATCCTGAGGCAATGTGTCACATAGGGATTCCTCGAAAACGGCTGTGTCATGTACAACCTAAAATGCCAAGGTATTTTTTCTTTGCCACCCAATTGGAATGTTGGAACCACCCAGAGGAGACACGCTCTAGGTGGATGGTATATAAATCTAATATAAATAAATAAATGTCAAATCATCCCATTTTCAAACAGAAACAAAAGAAAAACTGCTCTGTATGCAGTCGTGGTGGGAACCACAACTGCCGTTAAACCACATTATCATCATCCCATTTAGTAAAACCAGACTGTGATGTCTGCTTCCTTAACTTCTGCTTAACCAACTACTGTGTTTCCCCAAAAATAAGACAGGGTCTTATATTAATTTTTGCTCCAAAAATGTATTAGGGCTTATTTTCAGGGGATGTTTTATTTTCTTAATGTACAACAATCTACATTTATTCAAATATAGTCATGTTATCATCTTGGTTGCTGCACAATGGCGGAAGGCAGGGTTTCACTTAAGTGGGGCTTATTTTTGGTGTAGGGCTTATATTATGAGCATCCTGAAAAATCATACTACCGCTTGTTTTCTGCTTAGGTCTTATTTTCAGGGAAACAGAGTACAGTGGTGCCTTGCAAGACAATTTTAATTTGTTCCATGGAAATTGCTGTCTTGTGAAAACATCGTCTTGTGAAACCCAGTTCCCCATTGGAATGCATTGAAATTCACTGTCTTGCGAAAATTGTCCATAGAAAACATCGTCTTGCAAAACACAGTTCCCCATACCATATTGGGGAAAAGCAATCCCCTCACCTGTACTGCCTTTGGAAATTCACTGGGTCTCAGATAGCCTTCCCCCTCTTTCTCTCTCCAGCAACAAAGAAAGAAGGTAAAAGGAGTCAAACCCCCTTCTGTCCCCTGACCCCCCAGGTCATGGTGACCCTCTGGCTGCACCTCCCACTCAGTACAGGGCTGCACAGCCCCAGTCCTGCCAGAGGCCAAGAGAGCTGCTCATTGTTTTGGGGTGCCCTGCGGGACCCTCATCAGGAGCTAGGTGTTCCTCTAGTGCACAGGTATTAGCATAAGGTATTAGCATATGTGCACTAGAGGATTGTGGGAGGAATGCTTAGCCCCTGATGGGAGTTCCACAGGGCACCCCAAAACACTGAGGAGCTCTCTTGGCCTCTGGCAGGACTGGGGCTGTGCAGCCCTGTACTAAGTGGGAGGTGCAGCCAGGGGGTCACCATGACTTGGTGGGTCGGGACAGAAAGGGGTAGGAGATGCAAGGGCCATTCCAATTCATACCTTGTAGGGGAGATACCATGTCGTAAAAATGGGTTTCCCAGGGAGAGGCTCATCCATTGCACTTTGGGTGTGGTGTTGACCCCAGTGATTTCCCCAAATGTGGGGAACTCAACTACACAATTTGTATTAATGAGGGCATTATGGTTTGTGATTTCTCTGTTTTTTTATTTTTTACAATCTCTTTACCTTTTGGTTCCTGGCTGTTTTTACCATTCTCTACCATTTATATTTACAGCCATAGCCCCATTGGTGATGCTTTGCAAGATGGTTCCCCCCCATTGAAGCATATTAATTACATAAAATCTACTTTTTATCCCAAAAAAGTAGGGGAGAAAGTGTATGCTACTGGCTTTCCAGGAAAAACAGCAGCATACACTTTCCCCCCCCCCCCTTTTTGGGATAAAAAAGTAGGTCTTATGTAATTAATGTGTTTCAATTGGGGGGGAACCGTCTTGCGAAACAGGGTAAAAAAAAGTATTGCAAGGCAAGGACCCAAACATCGTCCAGCGAAAATTGCCCATAGGAACAATCATTTTGTGAAGCACAACATCGCTCAAAAAAGTCATTGTCTAGCGAATTCCTCATTTTGTTAGGCAATTGTCTAGCGAGGCACCACTGTAGTAGCATTTTACCTTCAAACAGCAGATTGTCATAATTTGAAACATTGTCTCCATAAAAACAGTCTAGAAGAGCAAGTTGCTGCAGTTAAATAGCTAACGTCAGAAAGATGAGTATCCAGAGCAAGAAGTAACACAGATCTCATGGCTTTTTTAATTTAATATTTAAAATATTTTATCCTACCTTTCTCCTTAAAAAGAACCCAAGGCAGCTTAACATCATTAAAAAGATAATATGTAGAAGCTACTGTGTTTCCCCGAAAATAAGACAGGGCCTTATATTAATGTTTGCTCCAAAAATACATTAGGGCTTATTATCAGGGGATGTTTTATTTTACAGTCATATCTTCTTCTGGTTGCTGCACAATGGTGGAGAGCGGAGTTTCACTTAACTGGGGCTTATTTGGGGGGGTAGGGTTTATATTACGAGCATCCTGAAAAATCATCCTAGGGTTTATTTTCAGGTTAGGTCTTATTTTGGGGGAAACAGGGTAAAAGGTATACAGATAGGTATACCTTTTAGGTATACAAATATTAAAAAAGAATTAAACAAGTATACATTAAAAACAGTAATAAAATCAGTACTAAAACACATTTAAAACAACAGAGCACAACCATTTATTTAAAAAATTCCTTAGACCACCAATCATTAAGTAAAAGCCTGCCTGAAGAGAAAAGTCTTTGCCCACTTGCGGAAGGACAGCAAAGATGGGCTAGCCTAGCTTCCCATAGGAAGGAGTTCCAGAGTCTGGGATCAGCAACAAAGAAGGCCCTATCCTGTGCCCCCACCAAGTGAACTTGTAAAGGTGGGGGGACTGAGAGAAAGGCCTCCCTTGATTATCTTAAATCCTGGGTAGAGTCATAAAGGTAGATGCTCCCCAACCTTGGGCCTTCAGATGTTCTTGGATTACAACTCCTAGAAGCCTTCACCACCACCTCTGATGGCCAGGATTTCTGGGAGTTGAAGTCCAAGAACATCTGGAGGCCCAAGGTTGGGGACCACTGTTTTAGATAACTTGTACCCAAGCTGTTTAGGGCTTTGTAAGTTAGAACCAGCACTTTGAATTGTGCCTGGAACCTAATTGGCAGCCAGTGGAGCTGATGTAAGGGGGAGGGGATTTCATATGATCCCTGTAACCTTTCCCAGTCAGCAATTTGGCTGCTACATTTTGGACCCTCTGGAGTTTCTGAACACTTTCCAAAGGCAGCCACACGTAGAGGATGGATGTGTATGTATATCTGAGTGAAAAGAACAGGCCTGTTTTTCTTTTTGCAAGAAGGGGAAACAGTTTAACAAGGAAAACAAAAAAATAACAAGAAGTTCACAGGCAGCTGGGTGGTGATGGTCCACTTTTAAAAAAAATTGGAAATATGGCCACCATACAACCGTTTGCATTATGTTTCCTCAATTAGCAACCACTTTTTCCATGTCTGTGCTACTACACTTGACAAAAAACATTAGGTCTTTGGCTTACACATCCTTTCTGGAATTATCTGGTCCAAATATAACTGAAGTAAATATAATCTGAAGGCAAATTGCTGGGAAACATCAAAAAGGAGGATCTACGTATACTTCATCTGATTTGCACAGGTTAAGGTCACAGATGCTATTTTTTTCTACCCATGAGCCACTATAAATTTTACCTTAACCCAAAGGCTTAATAATATAATGGACAAAATCCTTACATTACATTGGCATAAATGTGCCAGGCGTTATGCCTATCAGCAAGGAATTGCATTATGCAATGGCACAACTGGTTGTGTGTCCCCACCACGACCAACTGTGCATTGCACCAGTGGAAGCGCTTCATGGATGGCAATTCTCATGGGTACAGCCTTTTAGTTGTGCACATGTAGTTGGGCAACAAGATTTTGGCTGGTATGTTTAAAAAAGGTCTATATTCACAAAAAGTTCACAAACAGTCCCACTTTGATTATGGTGAATAAAATCAATTATTATCAAAATAATTAACTAATTATAGCTATATACAGAAATAAAAATTAGAAGGGTAAAATGCAATATATTTAGTCACATCTGAAGAAGTAGGTTTACCTGTTTTTCTTTCTTCAATTCAGAATAGTTTAAGTGACATTAGGAGATTCCAAACATCCTGGTCTTACAGGCTTGTACTCGTAATACTATTATAAGTAACTAATTTATATTCCATCTAGGGAAAGGCTTCCCCTCCCTTCCTTCCTAAATCTCTTCCACCAGCTGCAAATGTCAGTTAGTCAGCATTTTGTGCTCACTAAAATATTCAGTTATTATTTTAGCTCTTAATAATTATGTGTTGTCAAGTCAATTCCAATTTTCCAGGGTTTTCTAAGTAGAGAGTACTCAGAAGTGGTTTACCATTTTCTTCTTCAGGTATGCCCTGGGACTGTACAGCTTGTCCAAGACTATACATACTGATGGTTGTTGTGGGTTTTTCGGGCTCTTTGGCCGTGTTCTGAAGGTTGTTCTTCCTAACGTTTGCTCTGGTGTCGTTGGCTTGGGAGCCAACGACACCAGAGCACAGAGTACTGTCCTCTGAAGATGCTGGCCACAGAGACTGGCGAAACATTAGGAAGAACAACAGTTAGAACTGAATATGGAACAACTGATTGGTTCAAAATTGGGAAAGGAGTACAACAAGGCTGTATATTGTCCCCCAGCTTATTTAACTTGTATGCAGAATACATCATGCGAAAGGCAGGACTGGATGAATCCCAAGCCGGAATTAAGATTTTCTGAAGAAATATCAACAACCTCCGATATTCAGATGATACCACTCTGATGGCAGAAAGTGAGGAGGAATGAAAGAACCTCTTAATGAGGGTGAAAGAGGAGAGCACAAAAATGGTCTGAAGCTCAACATCAAAAAAACGAAGATCATGGCCACTGGCCCCATCATCTCCTGGGAAATAGAAGGAGAAGATATGGAGGCAGTGACAGATTTTACCTTCTTGGGCTCTATGATCACTGCAGATGGTGACAGCAGCCACAAAATTAAAAGTCGCCTGCTTCTTGGGAGGAAAATGATGACAAACCTAGACAGCATCTTAAAAAGGAGAGCCATCACCTTGCTAACAAAGGTCTGCATAGTCAAAGCTATGGTTTTTCCAGTACTGATGGATGGAAGTGAGAGCTGGATGATAAAGAGGGCTTAGCACCAAAGAACTGATGCTTTTGAATTGTGCTGGAGGAGACTCTTGAGAGTCCCCTGGACTGCAAGGAGATAAAATCTATCCATTCTGAAGGAAATCAACCCTGAGTGCTCACTGGAAGGACAGATCCTGAAGCTGAGGCTCCAGTACTTTGGCCATCTAATGAGAAGAAAAGACTCCCTGGAAAAGACCCTGATGTTGGGAAAGTGTGATGGCAAGAGGAGAAGGGGATGACAGAGGATGAGACAGTTGGACAGTATCATCGAAGCTACCAACATGAATTTGACCAAACTCCGGGAGACAGTGGAAGACAGTAGGGCCTAGTGTGCTCTGATCCATGGAGTCATGAAGAGTCGGACACGACTTAAGAGCAAGTACAATGACAATAGCAGCAAGTAGCTTTAGTCAACCATAGCAACTCCCATAATTGCAGTACTGTGACTGGGGGGGAAAAAAGAATTTTCACCATGAAGTCTGAAATAGAAGCAGAATTGTACAAAAAATGTTTCAGAGTTGTCCTTTGTCTCAGTTCTGTTGCTTATTATAGGATTCTACTATTCCCATTCTTCTGTGATTGTTAATGACAATGTACTGTGATTACTGTATATTAACACCTTTTTCCTATAAGGGTGCTAATGTACTGATTGCTATCCCAAACTCCTATTTTCTCTGTACAATAGGTAATTACTGGAGGACACTATGATGTTGACTGTCGATTAGAAGATCCAGATGGAATTGTGTTATACAAAGAGATGAAAAAACAGTATGATAGTTTTACCTTCACTGCATCCAGAAATGGAACATACAAATTTTGTTTCAGCAATGAATTCTCAACCTTCACACACAAAACAGTGTACTTCGACTTCCAGGTTGGAGATGATCCACCTCTTTTTCCAAGTGAAAACAGAGTCACTGCACTTACTCAGGTATTGTTTTTAAAATAAATTTGAGTAGATAGTAGCACTTTATTTAAACTCGATCTTAATGGTAACAGATTAATTTTTATTCTGTATTCAGTTTGCTTAAATGCAGAGACATAAGTAGTTCAATGATGAGTGATGTTAGTTAATTGGTTTATTGATTAATTATTTGATTAAGGGGGTAGAGGTGAAAACACTGGATGCATCCCCCCCCCAAGAATGTCCCCTCCTCCACTTCCTTGGCCCTCTAATCTCAGCTGCCTTATGAGAAGGTATAAAAGAGAGAGTGAAGCAGGCCATGGTAGGTGCCTGGGCAAGATTGTAGGTGTGGCTTTGTTTTAAGTCTATATTTTTTTAATATAACAATTCTGTTTTATGAATTGGTGGACAAGGCGCTTGATCGCCGTCGGGCCTCCACTTCTTCTCTCGACCCTTGCCCGGCCTGGTTAATCAAAGCAGCCAGGCCTGTAACAACCGAGTGGGCCACCACAATAATTAATGGGTCTCTCCCGTAGGGCAAGGTTCCCCTTGCCCTTAAGGAGACACTCATTAGGCCCATTAGGAAGAAACCGAATTTTGCAACGGATGACATTGGAAATTATAGGCCAGTCGCCAATGCTTCCTTCCTCAGCAAAGTGGTTGAGAGGGTGGTGGCAGATCAGCTTCAGGTGCTTTTGGACGAAACCAACACTCTGGACCCATTCCAGTTGGGTTTCAGGCCGTGCTATGGTACAGAAACGGCACTGGTCGCACTGATGGATGACCTGCTGAGGGAGGCTGATGGGGGCAATATGCCCCTGTTGGTCCTCCTTGATATCTCAGCGGCCTTGGATACCGTCGACCACGGTATCCTCCTGGGGAGGCTCTCTTGCTTGGCTCCGTTCCTTCTTGGAGGACCGCCCCCAGAGAGTACAGCTTGGGCAAAGTGTCTTGGTCCCGCAGGGGTCAATCATCTCTCCAATGCTGTTTAACATCTACATGAGGCCACTGGGCGGGGTCATCAGGGGGTGTGGGGCATCGTGTCACCAGTATGTTGATGAGACACAGCTCTACATCTCCTTTTAATCTACTTCAGTGGATGCCGTTCTGTCCCTCCAGTGCTGCCTGGAAACTGTACTGGAATGGATGCAGGCGAATGAGTTGAGGCTGAACCCGAACAAGACGGAGGTCTTGAGGGTGGGTGGTCCTTCCATCAGCGGTATAGGTAACTCCCTTTCTTTTGGGGGGACGACCCTTGCTGCAAAGAGTGAGGTCCGCAGCTTGGGGATACATCTGGACCTTGCGCTTACCATGGAAACCCAGGTGGCGACTGTGGTCCGCTCCGCCTATTTTCATCTATGGCGGATTGCCCAGCTGCGACCATATCTTGATGGGGGGG